ATTCCCAACAGAGGGGGGCAGCAGAGGGCTGATCTGGGACCCCAGGTACCTGAGGTCTTATTCCAAACCTGGAGGCCTGCCTAGGTGAGGGTGAGGCCTACCTTAATTTGACTTCACCTCAGAATGCCTAGCTCCATTCAAAGCTGACAGCTGGCCACTTCCTGTTGGAACCTCGCGGTTTTCTGACAGGGAAGATACCTCACAACTGGAAAAGGGCCGTGCAAGGTAACGCACCTCAGCTCCAGGCTAGAACTTGATTTCAGGTCTCCTGATTCTTGGTCTCTGACCTTGCACAGAGTCACCTCTTGGCTCTTTGAGTTGGGTGCCTTTGTGTAAAGCAGAGGGTAGGGTCAGGGCCTCCTCCCCAGCTGCCCTATCCCTGCGTCTGGAGATACCTGTGCAGGCGGAGGAGGCAGAGGAGGCGATCAGCGGAGCGACAGCGGAGGCTAGGCTGGCAGGGAGGGAGGTGTGGTAATGAATGTGGACGGGAGGCAGAATGAGCGATCCATCTTTGCATGGGAGGAGAGGGGGCTGCGGGCGTTCCCCCCACACACTCACACACTCAATCAGGCGCTGTCAGACCTCCGGCCGCCTGGCATTTTGGTGAAGAATCTCTCAGCTAAAAATTGTTGTCAGTCCCATTTCCTCGTTATCAGTGCAAGGGCTGAGGCAGCGCCCGGGGATTAGCAGGAGCCGCGTGCGCCCGCACCCCGCCATCCGCTGCCGATAACACTGGGCCTCTCGCCTCACCTCCCCATTCATCATCTTTAGCACTGACAGCCCGTCCCAGTCCCTGTCCCCATCCCCTTGTGCTTCCACGTCTCCCCACTGGCTACTCAGTCCTGCTCCTGACCTCCCTGGGGAACTGGGCCAGGATTCAACCTAGGTTCTCACAACCCAGACCCACCTGTGGCAATAGGACTCAGCCAGCTATGGGGATGGACAGGCAGAAGATGATTTCTGACAGCCGGCCTCTGGTGGACCCTGCCTGCCTACCTGCCATGCTGGCAGCTGTGTTGGAGCAGGGAGTCCTGCATCTAATGAGCAGTTGAACTAAGGTTTCTTGGAGGCCTCTCCAGCCAGAGATGAAGTTGCATATTCCCAGGGGCTGTGGAGAGGAAGAGTCAGAAGATGAGGGCTGCATTCTCACCCCAGCAAGACCACAACCCCCTCCTCTTGGCCATCCCCAGCAGTTTTATGGCCCGTTTTATGGTCACTGTAATGGCCCAGGTCAAAAGCTTCAGGGAGCTGTATTCTGGGAATTATGCAAACGAGGAGCAGGCCCAGGGCCAGAGTATAGATTTTGTCATTAAACCTGGGCAGGCCATGTCGTTAGTGCAGTAAAATCCACGTCATGACCACAGGTCTCAATATAAAATTATAGGGAACACAACGGGAGAGGAGAAGTAGGGGAACCACAGCCTTGCTGGCACCTGCCACTCTAGCCCTTTAGAAAGTGGGGTATGATGGAGCACATTGGCTGTGGGGGTCCCTCTGTTGATCCTTGTCAATGCTACTCCTGAAGCTGGGAGCTAGGAAGACGGCCCGTTGTTCTGATAGGGAAACTGAGGCTATGCTCAGAGAAGTATTCCTCTGACAGCAAAGCAGATGGAGTAAGAATACGTATATAGAAATACCTATTCCTGGACCTCAGGCTCAGAGAGGGGAAGTGGAGTCTGAGCTCTGGGCAACCTCAAGGACCAGACTTGGCATCCTGGCCAACGACAGCTGAACATGCTATGTTCCCTCTCAGCTCAAACTCCAAGCTCTGAACCCTCCTCTTTCTCCAGTTTTCTCTCTTCCTCCTTCCTCCTAATTCCTCAGTTTTAACAGCTTTGTCAACTCTCACATACTCATCCTCATGCTTTCATTCGAATGTCACATCTCCGATGGATCTTATGAGCCTTTTTCCTGACCTCCTACAATAACTATTCATGCCTCTCTGCTGTCCCTGACCTGAGCTACATGTATTGGAACTGCTAATTTCCTTTTTTGTTTTCTCACTATTTTATGATGTTCTAGAAGTCAAGAGTATGTTTTATCTATGAGCTCAAATTTTCATAGAATAAGACTTGACATGGAATCACTGTTTACTAAATGTTTGCTGAATTAAAGCCAAATACAGGGATCCCTGGAGCTCTGGTGGCCTCATGGCAAGGTGCTGCGCTGCATTCCCGAAGGCACTGTTCGAATCCACCAGATGCTCCACTGGAGAAAGAGGGGCAATTTTTTGTCCTCCTGGGCCTATCAGACCCTATTGGATGGTATACAGCAACAACAGGAAAAAAAGAACGAAAGAAAATACACACAAATATATAGGGATTCCTGACTAGTTGTGAGCCTCAGTGTCCCCATTTTTAAAATACAGTGGCCATAAGAATGCTTCAGGTCTTGGTGAGCTCTGGTGGCCTGGTGACAAGAAGATGCACTGTAATCCCAGAAGTGTGTGGTTCAATCCCACCAGATGCTCTGCTGGAGAAGGAGGGACAATCTTCTCTTATACCCATCAGATCTGATTTGACGGTGCATGTGCGTGCACACATAAATTTAAAAAAAAAAGACTGGGCGGGGAGAGAAGTGCAGCAATGAATGAATGGAAATCCAAAATCTCTTCTGTAAATGTTCGTTAAAATTATTTTAAAAAAATGCTTCAGGTCTTACTCATCTCTGAAATTCTCTGAGGGAATTTAGCATCAAGTCAGGGCTGCATCTGCTTCTTTTATTCATCGGTACCTGCCACACAGCCTCTGAACACCCTTCCCTTCCTCACAGACCTAATCATTCAACCTGGAACCACCCTGTTCACAAAACCCCACACCTGATCTCCCAACTCTGTAAAGGTTCTAAAACACTTGCTCATTCCCCCCACCCCTCTTTTCCTTTATCTTGCAACATTACTGAACATCTGTTCTAACCCTGTTACCAACTGTTTCTTGATAAAAGATGGTTAAGAAATGGTCCCAGCCCTTAAGAAAATCACAGCATATTTAAACGTTCATGTCTACCCACTCTTTGCCTGGCACATTTCTAAGGCACAATTTAAACTGTACTTCTTTAGCAAAGCCTTCTCTTTTTGCCACTCCTTAAAGCACATATTCAGAACAAATCACCTTTGGGCACTCTGATGATTTCAGCTGGCCATCCCGGAGAACTGTTATCATCTTCAGCCTTATGTCAAAGGGAAATGGGTTCTGGTGCTTAGTCTGAACTAGGAGTTCCCCTCAGATCTATTTTAAATTTTGCAAATAAAAATAATAGGATACTCAAGGTTGAATTTCAGATAAGCAATGAATAGTTTTTCGTATAAATACATTTTCCTGAGATTCAATTGAGCTGGGCATTCTATATTTAATCTGACAGAATGGTTCAGGCAAACAATTTGGTCATCATCACAGAGGCTTTATATCCTTAGAAGCTGATTTTGACCCTCAGTAGATAAAATGACAAGACGTGGGCAAGAAGATCTGAGCCCAACTTAAAGAACTCCTTTCTGAGGTCAGAACGTCCATGGATAGACATGAGTATTTTGAGATGAGTAAGGCTTCCCAAACCCACACATGTAAGCAGATGTTAGAGGAGCTTTGGGTAGGAGGAGTGGCAAGGGAGAGAATTTAGCTATCCAAAGGTATTGCACTCTGAAGCTTGTTTCCAGCATGCAATGTCCCGGTTACCATTAGTAACAGAATTAGAAACAGAGTTCAGGCACCCAGTTTGTCCCCAGGCCAGCCTAGGGAGCACTACACCCACTTGTGCTCATCTGTTAGCGCTACGCAGTTTTGGAAGAGAAGAACCCTCAGTCAGTGAGACTCACAAGAGACCAATGAGGTTATCCAGGTGAGAGGCAACGACACCTGAACACAAAGAATACCAGTACTCCAGGAATACTGAAGAACAGAACAGACATGGCTTCTGGGTGGTTAATGTGGGAGGAGGGGAAGCAAAGGAAGGAACCTAAGGAGAAGCTGAGATTTCTGGTTTAGGAGAAGTAGGTGAATGAACTGAGTCTGGCACTGCTGACAGAGGATGAAGTTTGGAAGGACTGAAAAAGCTGAAAGACTCAATTTTTAATTATTTCATTCCAGACTCTTGTGGAACATATTAGGCACTGATGTCCAGTAGGTAAGGAACTCTGGTTGTGTAGTGTGTTCCACATTGCACTGCCAACCTAAAGGTCGGCGCTTTAAAGCTACCAGCTGCTCCTTGGGAGAAAAGTGAGAAATCTCCTCCCAAAAAATGTATAGCTTCAGAAACTCAACAGAGAGTCACACTGAGATGAAACTGACCTGAAGGCAATGTGTAGGCTGAATCCATCTGGTGTTTGGATATAAGGGTCTGGAGAAGAGAAGAGAGAGCTGAAGTCAAGATGGAGATCTTGGAGCTACTGGTGTTAACTGGACACTGGTGGGAACTAGAAACCTAAGAACAGAAAAGATCATCCAGCAAAGTGAAGAGGCTGAGAAGAGAGCCCTAGGGGAGAGTGACAATCTGAGAGGGAACTCAGGCCTGGAAATCACCTGGGTCCTTTCCACCTCAGCTGTGAGGACCTCTAAGGCAGAAACTGCATCTGCTTCTGTCCTGTTCCCCCATTTCTCTTCACTGGGCCTGGTCCAGAGTAGACATGAGTTGATTGTTAAAGGGATAAGTCTACCTTCTTTCTGTTTTTCTTCTTGGAAAGGAGAGACAGGGTGTCATTGACTATTCTGGGTGATGGTATGATTAAACCAAGAGATTTCTTCACCAACACATTAAAATTAAGTGTTTAAGGCTTGATTGTAAAGAGCATTGATTGTGTCCTGACAGATTTCTAAGGGAGCCACTAGCTAACCTTACCTGGAATAACATCTGGAACGACTTAGAGGACTCAGATTTTCACATTTATCCTACTCGTAGGCCAAGAAATCCCAGAAGACAGCAGCAGATTAAGTTGGAAGATTGAGACACTCTGGGTTTCCCTCCACAGATAGCCCCGTTTATGTGTTGGTCTATTCTTCCCTCCTCAGGTAAGAAGAAGGCAGCAGCACTGTTTGACAGCCAGGCCCCCATTTGCCCCATCTGCCAAGTCCTACTGAGGCCCAGCGAGTTGCAGGAGCACATGGAGCAGGAACTGGAACAACTGGCCCAACTGCCTGCCAGGTAAGCCACCTAAGCTATCTGGCTCACACCCAACCTTGAGGTAGAAGATTGGACCGTGGTGCCAATTCTCCTCCACTCTCCTTTTTTCAGAGTTCATCCTTGCAACCTACCTCAGATTCCTCAACAGTATTATTGTGATGGTGGTGGTGGTGGTTAGGTGCCATCGAGGCGAGGACGACTCATAGCAATTCCATGAACAACACATCTGAATCCTGTCCTATTCTGTGCCATCCTCACCATCTCTGATACACATGAGCCCATTGCTGCTGTCACCATGTTGTTCCATCTCATTGGGGCCTTCCTTTCTTTCTCTAACCTTCCACCTTTCTAAGCATGATACCTCTTTCCAAAGTATAGCTTTTTGTAGCAACATTTCCAAAATATAAATTGTTGTTGCTATGTTCCATTGAGTTGCCTGTGACTCATAGCAACCCTATATATTGTTGTTTTTGTTGTTGTTGTTGTTGTTGTTATTGTGCCTTCGAATCGCTTGCGACTTATAGTGACCCTGTGTACAACAGCTCTGTTCTGTCCTGTGCCAATCGCACCGTCTCTGACACACCCATCCCGATTACCCCAACCACTGAATCAATCCACCTCATAGGGGGCCTTCCCCTTCTGCGCTGTCCCTCCACCCTACCAAGCACGATGTCCCTCTCCAAGGACCTGTCCCTCCTTGCAATATGTCCAAAGTATGTCAGACAGAGCCTCAGAATCCTTGCCTCCAAGGAGTAACCCGGTTTAACCCTCTCCAGGATGAATCTGTTTGTTCTCTTAGCAGTCCATGTATATAGTCACTCTGAACTCCACTCTTTCCTGAGCCGTTTCATTGTCACACCTCTCCTATTAACCCAGTTACTGTATCAATCCATCTCATCTGAGGTCCTCCTCTCCTGTGCTGTCATGGTATCCTTTTTTAGGGACTGATCACTTATGGTATCAGGCCCAAAGTATGTGAGACAGAGCATCAGAATCCTTGCTGCCAAGGAAAATCCTGGTTTCACCCTTTCTAGGATAAACCTGTTTGTTCTCTTGGCAATCCATGGTATGTTCAATACTCTCACCATATCTCAAAGGCATTGATTATTCTTCTGTTGTCTCTGGTCATTGTCCAGCTCCTTTGTGAAAACCATGGCCTGAATCAGGCTCACCTTAGTCTCCAGACTTAGATTGTTGCTCTGTAGCACTTTTGAGAGGTCCCTGGCAGTAGCCTTCCCAGGAGAAATTAATCTTTTAGTGATGTTTTTCTCTTCTTGATTTATTTTTGTCACTAAAATGAGGGTGATCCCTTAAGTCTCAGCTTCCAGAGAGCGCAAGAGAAGCTGGGAAAAGCATGAACCATGGCTTTGTTCTGCCATGCTGACCCCAGGGTAGGATAAAAGAAGTAAGCCCTGAACTTGGCAGCCCCATCTAAACTGCAGCCTTGTGCTTTCATCCAGGTGAGTAAGAATCACCACCTTCTCTATGAATGTCAAGGTCTGGGATGTGACAGTCTTGAGAAAGCACTCAGAACGGCTACCCTCTCCCAACTTTCCCTCCTTTGCTCCTGCCTGAAGCATTGGGCTCAGCTTTTTAAGGGTCTTGTGAAGGAGTTAGATTACTAAAAGGGACAAAGGAGGGGTATAACAAGTACTCAAACCCTAGTGGTTTAAAGCAGTTATTTTATTATGCTCATGGAATCTGTAGGGTCAGGAATTCAGATGGAGCCATAAGCCACCACACTCATACCTGTTCCATAATGTCTGAGGCCTCAGCTGGGAGGAATGAATGTCTGGGAGCTAGAATCATCTGGAGATCCTTTCACTCACATGTTTGGTGATAGATAGATGCTGGTAATCTTCTAGGACCTCAGCTGGTGTTGTAACCAAACTATCCATGTGGCCTGTACTTCCTCATAACATGGCAGCCTCAGGGTAGCTGGAGTTCTTATGTGGCAGCTTAGGGCTCCAAAAGCAAATGTTCTAGCCAAGCAGGTGGAAGCAGGCTGACCTTCTATAACCTAACCTTGCAAGTCACTTGTCACTCCCATTACACTCTATTGATCAAGGCAATATTCACCCACCCAGATTCTGGGGAAAGGGGACATACCTCCCATTTTGTTTTAGAACAAGAATGGCAAAGCCACATTAAATTTGAGCAGGAGATCCCATGGTGGATCAGATGAGATTCCTGTCCTCAGAAGTTCACAGTATGAGAGTGGGAAGAGTCAGCCCATTTAGTTCCCAAAGGACAGACACTGCTAAACACAGAGGAGAGGAGTAGGGGAGTCAGGGAGGCCCCACAATCACCCAGGGCGCTGAAGACTTCCTGAGGTGGTGAGGCCTGAGCTGAATTTTGAAAGATGTAATAATTATCTATTGCCATGTTACAAATTGTCCTAAAATTTAGTGGCTTAAAACAACAACAAACATTTATTGTCTCACAGTTTCTGTGGGTCATCAATTTAAGAGCAGCTTAACTCGGTGGTTCTGCCTCAGGATCCTTCATGAGGTCGCAGTTAAGTTGTCAGCCAAGGCTGCAGTCAAGGCTTGACTAGAGCTGGGGGATCCACTTCCATGACGATGCTCACCTGGCTGTTGGCAGGAAGTCTCAGTTCCCTAACACAAATGTCTCTCTGTGGAGCCATATGAATGTCCCCATGACTTGGCACTTAATTTCCCCCAGAGTGAGCGATCCAAGAAAGAGAGAAGGAGAAAAAGATAATGCCTTGAAAACAAACAACATAAAACTCTCTTTAAATATTTTTTAAATAATCTTAGATTTATAGAAAAGTTACAAAAATACTAGCGTTCTCGTGTGCCCTTCTCTCACCTTCTCAAAATGTCAACTTCATTGCAATTATGAAAACTTGGAAATTAACATTGACCCATGATTACTAGATAATCTATAGATTTTATGAATGCCACCAATTTTCTCACCAATGTGTCTTTTAAAAAAAGGTATTTCATTCTTTTAGAGAGTATTGTAAATGGAATTGTTTTATTAATTTCCTGCTTGTTCATCACTGGTATATAGAAGCACAAACTATGTGTTGATCTTATACCTCTCAACTTTACCATATTTAGTAGCTTTGGTAGCTTTCTTGTGAATTCTTTAGGATTTATATGATCTTGGTATTGTTGTGTGCAGTCGAGCTGGAATCAACTCATAGCTGGCCCTCTGGTGGGTTTTCAGAGGCAGTAAATCACATAGAATATTTTCCATCTTTCTCCCACGGAGCAGCTGGTGGATTTGAACCTCATGCCTTTGAGCTGGCAGCACAGCTCCTTACCACTAGGTCACCAGAGCTCCCTATATATGATCACATCACCTGCAAGCAGAGATAGCTTTAATTTTATTTCCCAATTTGAATGCCTTTTCATTTATTTTTCTTACCTAATTGGTTTGGTTAGAATACTCAGTACAATGCTGAATGACAGTGTTAAAAGTGAGCATCCAGGCATCCTCTGTATTTCCTTTCTGAGGAGGAAGGTCTGTCCCATCTTTGGGACTTTTTACCTTAATATAATTATTATTATTATTATTATTATTATTATTATTAACCTTAGAAGGAAAACCTTGAGCCTTTTACCATTGAGGATTTTGTTCACCGTGGTTTTGATGTCTTTTTTCTCCCCAAAATATCTTTTGTCGTGTTGAGGAATTTTCTTTCTCTTATTGGTTTGTTTCTTATCATGAAAGGGTGTTAGATTTGTTGCATGACTTTACTTCATCAGTATGATTATGTGTTATTGTTACTCCTTCATTCTGTTCATGCGGTATATGACAGTGGTTGAACCACCTTTGCGTTCCTAGGTTAAATTTCCCTTGGTCATGGGGTATAATCTTTTTTAATATGATGTTGGATTCTGTTTGCTGGTATTTTGCTAAGAACTTTATTTTATTTTTTTTTGCATCTATATTCTTAAAGGATTTGTCTATCGTTTTCTTGTGATGTCTTAATCTAGTAGTGTGTTTTATAACTTAGTCTTGGCAGTCACACACTATCACTTCCTCTTATGTTCTATTGACTGGATGTATGTCACCAAACTAATAACAGAATTATGCTTTATTTCTTGAAGGAAAGAATTCTCAAAGAATTTGTGAGCATACTTTAAAATGATTACAGAAGATTATTGTGTTGTTGTTAATGTGCTTTCAAGGTGGAACTAATATAGCTGACCAGTGGGTTTTCTGAGGTTGTGAAAGGAGATTGCCCATCTTTCTCCCTCAGAACAGCTAGACCACCAGACCACTAATGATAATAACACCACCACCACCACGTGTGCAAATATGACAATATTGAGTTATTTAATACCCACAACTCTGAGATGGGTAATGATTATCACTCCCATTTTACAGATGAGGAAAAATAGGTACAGAAGGGTTAAATGACTTCCCTAAAGTTTTATGTGTGCTGTGCAGTCAGAATCAACTCACAGCTGACCCTCCTGTGGATTTTCAGAATTGGTAAATCACCTAAGAGGAGACAGCTCATCCTTCTCGTGGAGCAGCTGGTGGACCCCAACTAGTGAGAGATAAAGGCAAGACTCAAACCCAGGCGGTGTGACTCCACGATCATGCGTTAACCTCTTGCCCCCCACCTGGCCTGGGATTAGGCAAGGAGCCAGAGGGTAAAACAAACACCGTGCTGCAGCTGAGCTCAATACCTTGCCTCTCTCAGCCTAAAACAGACTTTTTAGTCATTTCTTCCAATGGTGGATGACCCCTCAAAAAGTGTAAAGAAGAAAAGCAGGAATGATGCCTTGTAAAGGCAGATTGCCCCTAAGCATCTAGAGAATTGGGGCTCCAGAGCTCTTTCTGTGTCCCCCTCAGCCTAATCCCCATGACTCCAAACCCGCTCCCCCCAGGTTACCCACTCTCCCTTCTTCTTCCTCCCCTCCTGATGCTCCTGCACCCATCCCTCATCACCCACATCCTCTCAGAGCATCCCTTAAGCTCACATCTTCGCCCCCCAATGCCCACTTCCCCACCCAGAGGCCCTACCTCTGCTCCACTAC